ACCACTGCTTTTAAACATATGCAGAATGCACATGCAGTAACCTTCACAAACCCCCTTCAGAATAATTCAAATTCTGAAAGATTAAAATTTCCATAACAAGAATAAATGTTGTCAATACACTCCAGAAATGTTCACTGAGCATCACAGCAACAAAGAATACAAATTGTGCACTATATTTATATAGCTAAACTATGAGAGAACCACACTCTATTGTTTATAATAGAAGTTTCACTTATTTGACTTATTGTATATGGAGGGACTGCAGAACAAGCAGAATAATTAATTTTCCATTTACAGTGCAGTGGAGCAAAGGGAAATAATATGAATTTTGCTTGGAAAGCAGTTCTATACAAACTCAAGTGAGACACTGACTATCAGTATTCTTCACTTGCTGTTCCGAATTTGGGACACGAATAAGAATTAATAATCAAAATAGGAAAAAAAATCGTCTTGGTGTTAATCCAAATCAACTAAAATCTAACACAAGCACTATTACAATGCATAAACATAAGAAAATTGTAAATAAATACACATAGGACATTTAAAATGATGACCCTTGAAAAACCTATCCTATCAAAATGCTAAAGCAATATTCATCTACCAAATTATTTTGCACCAACAAAGAAAGCGCATTAATATAAGGCTACCCCAGAACTAATATCGCTTTTGTGGACTGACCAAGAGGTCAAAAAGGTTAATTGTATTTTCCAAGCTCAAATATGATTAATCCTTTTTTGCAATTATTTTATTTCACTTTCATTAATGACTTCAGCCCCAGGGAATTTGTTTTATTATACTTTTGTTTCAGTTTTATTAATTATTCATATGTAACTCTGATATACTATATACTGTAAAGGATAAGGGACAATCAGTTAATTATTCTTTTCGGCTTCTTGCCTACACACATCATTAATCACGGGAATCGTATAGATTTTTATTTATCTGAGGTCTATAATTAAATAGGGAGCCAGTGGCCCCACAGCAAAGAAGATCAACAGAGAAGTGAGAAACTGTTTCACCAACTGAATTTATGGGGGATTTATGGGGAGGCCAGAATGTACCAGCCCAGAATTTAGCCAGGACACGAGGTTTAATACCTCTACTCTTCTCAACAGTGCTTTGGGATCTACTATGACCAAGTCAGTATCTGAGTTTAACATCTCATTTGTTATAACAGCAACTCCTGGTCTAAAGGTAACAGTGTTGTGTAGCAGAAAGGCCTTGATTGGACATTATTAGCTCCACCGATTCAAGTCTTTAGGAATGGATCTCCTATGCTCAACACTTCCAGTGATGGAGTGACCAGCACTCGGGGTGTTTGCCTGGAGGCCACCGGTCAGTTGACGAAGGATGGCCAGGCCCTGAGGAACCTGTGGAGTGGGGAAGAAGACTGCACTGACGCCCCTGACGATCATCAACTGTGATCATGGGGGTAAAAATGTCCTGCGCGCCACTCTCTCAATCCAAACCTGGCAACCTGACAAAAAAAGAATCAACCATAGTTATCCAAGTTTCAGGAAACTTTAGATCCAGAAACCAGGATGTGAGCGAGCCCATCCATAGATTGACTTCTGCCTGAGACTTTCCCATCAACAAGAGACATTTTGCGACACAGCTGGACTTTTGTCATCAAGCCTGAATATTGAATAATCAGAAGCAGTATCTACACTGCTTTTTCCAAATGGTTCCTAGTAGCCGTAAAATAACTGAAATTTACTACTGAATTTCTAATTGTTACATTTAATTCAAATCATCACATCTCTCCAGCCCACACCTCTTCCATCAGCGACTCTGTTTCCCTGAGGTTTCCCTTCCCTGTTCCGTCCAGACCCAGTGTTTAGCTTCTGGCAACGTCTGACTAGAAGGTGGCCACCCTGCTTTTGTCCATGTCCTTTACTGTAAGTGTCAGGCCTGAAATGAGTCAACGTTTTTTTTTACTAAACCAGAACAATGCAAATTATTTCTTACTTCAAACAACTGAACTGAGTTTTCGTGTATTCAGATTTGCAAAGTGATTTATTTGCACATACTTGGTTAGTCACTATCTTCATTAGTATGTTCAACCATGTCCACATACATGACTATCCATATGTGGCTATAAGGTTTACAAACAACATTTGAAAAATATTTTAAGTGTTTCATCAGTTTCATCGATCCGGGAGCCTGTTCATAGGACAGCCTCTACAAACAGATATCCAAAGCCAGCCTCTTGGCATATCAGTTTGGCACCACACAGCTGCTGAGAGGATCTATGAATATTACCAAGACACAGGCAGCACACTACTCAATTTGAACCTGTTTGTTATTTTGTTAATGCTCATCTGGGGACTTCTAACTTTACAAATGCATCTGAATTTCATTGCAAGGCCTAACATGTGCAGTGAAGTGTTAAGCTTATGGAAAGTATAACAGATTTTATCTTTTCAAATCAAACACTAACAATCATAAGGTGATAATTGGTTTAGAATAAACGATAAAGTTTTATTTGTATTCTGTAATATGTATATCCCTGTGTGCCACTCTTTAACAGGGAAAAAAAACTGTTTTTTTATGAGTCTTTGTAAAATAAATACTTGAATTCTGCAGTAAAAACGTATTCTTAATCTGCATTTATTTTTTATTCTTTACATAGTGATGTGCTCTAGCACAAACTCACTCTGTTGATTAGCCTTATATATTTTAGAAGATATAAGTCGTAAATATTTAAAATACTCTTTCCTTCTCCTTGGGGAAGGATAACTGCTAGATGAAATCCATACATTACTGAGACTGATGTGACACAGAAAGCCCAGTACAGATTAGCACAATATCGTAGGTAATATCAAGAAATATCACTCCTAACATTGTTTCCATGGCTCTTAATTCTGTTTCTAGGTTACCAAGAGTTATATTTGGTCTCCCCAGTAGAGTAATTTATGGTTATCATAAGAGATAGTGATTTCTCATGCATCACAGAGTTTCACTTTAAGACTATAAAAAATGTCAGCTCTGGGAGGTACTGATAAGCGCCGATGCTTGCTGTCTGTGCAGATTTGTTAACACACAAGAGCAGCAACATGATGCCAATTATCCCATGCGCCAAACAGTAATTCTCACACAGGACCAGACAACATTTCACTGCTTGCAGGAGATCTAATTTAGCATTACCCAAGTAACAGAAAATAGCAAAGCTCCAAAGAAGCTCCAGAAGAGTTTGAACCATGGACCATGCAGCTCACGTCGACCAAAAAGGAATTAGAAATTGTCTTGATTAAAAGGGGTTGTAAATGAGTTTCAAGACCAGAAATTAACTCACAAAATGTTTACTTTCCTTAGGACATGTGAGGTAAAAACCCTGCATTTTTCATATACAGTTCACCACTAGACTTAATGTTGGTTTAGGCCTAGGGACTCCAAAGGCTAAATTCAACACTACACATTCACGGCTCTTGTTGTAAGCACAATCAACGCAGCACCTGACCAATACTGTCCCAATACTAACGCCTAAAAGGAGGATGGAACACAAAAAAAGTGGTCTTTGTGCAGAAATACCCAGACATAAAAGGTGATATTCTGCACCAAACTGCTTCAGTATAAAGCAAAAATAGTCATTTTAACTTCACTGTCCCAGTACTTATGAAGGGGAACTGTAGTCTTGAAACCAGATCATCCAGAAGATATGTCAATAATGGTTTCTACAAACAATGACCTTTGATTTTCGATTCTGTAATGCCCACCATGAGCCGTGAAAACCATTCTGAATAAAGTGACGTGCAGTTGGGATTATTCAACACTGCCCAACACAATAAAAGCTTTGATGCAGAAAGTGCTAGGGAGGATCTCTGTGTAGCCTTTACAAGCACACTGACAGGATGGATAACAGCAGACCTCAGCTGCACAATAACCTAGCCTACCTTTCCCCATGTACTACTTATCTGCCTGTTGGCTTTTATTACTGTATATCCGATTTAAGCAGTACAAAAAGGGTGTAATGTGCTACTAGAAAAATTACAATTACAAGCACCTTTCCTAAATCATCTGAAAAAAGAAAAATGTCCCAACAGGGTAAACGATGCCAGGATGCTGCAATGTTTTAATTGAATAACATATCATTAAAGAAAGAAACAGAATAATAGGTAACAATTAGTCAGGGACAGCAGCACAACATCAATTCTCCACCTAGGAGGTATTAATGCTGTGTGTGTGGGTGTGACAGAGAACAACAGGGCTTTCAAAGACTTTTTTTATAGCATGGTTAAATATTTTATTCCATATACCTCAGACTCAAACAAACTAACACCATAACACATTTATTAGAAAAACCTGTCAATGCAATGTCTGGCTGTGCAGAAATGTGTTCTTTGCCGTTTTGTGTTGAAATAATGCCCAATAATCAGTCCTGATTTCTTGCAAGTCGTGCTACAGATCCATATGTGTAGTATTTGGGCATTAAAGCCTTGGTGTGCGAGGCACCCATCAATAATTGGCAACAATTCTGAATCAAATACCAGCAACTGTTATCAAGAGAACTTCCGGAACACAGCCTACATCATTCAGCTCCATCAAGAAACAGCTACAGTGCAAGGAACTGGGTAACTGTACTAGACACTTTCATTATCAGGGCTAATGTGAAATCCAAGGAACAGTATGGATTTCACTTCCATTTAATCCCATTTACCCACTGGAATACTGATGAATCTGCAGTTTGGGGTTCTCCTATCAGCTCTCTTAATTACACAGTGAAGGCCAATTATGAGAAAATCTTTGCTCCCTGGAGTGTGATCTCTGGCAAGTGAGTAGACGCCTGCCCAAACCAGAAAGTCATTGTTAACCCCGAGAAGATCTGAGATCAGTCTCACAGGCAAGCCTGCAGACAGCTATGAAGCACTAATACCTCAGCTCTCCTGGTGCTGTTGCACAGATCTGTGGAGAACATGCTACAGGTCTGAGGGGAGGTGGTTACAAAGCGAGATCCTCTGAGGGGGGGTCTCCGCTGAAAGGGGATTTCTGCTTGCTCTTACCACACTGAAGTCCAGGTTCTGCTCAATCCATTCCTGTCCATCTTTGAATTCGTCGTGAAGGCCCATGATGTAGAGTGTGTCTAAGGCATCAACAATTGTTGCTCCCATTTGGGAATTCCCTGTAAAAGAAATCAGGATCGATGTAACATTCCCTACCCACATTCATTATCCTACAGGAGAGGAAAAGCAGAACACTTATACACTGATGTTTTACATTTAGTACATACACAGCTTAATTACAGTTACTCTTTCTGGCAAAGGTATTAAACTAGTGTATTACCTTTAAAGACATTGGCAAATTTATTGAATAAAGGCAACTAGACCTTTTTTGTACTGTATCTCTAAATATTGGTGTCATTTGTATAACAGACAGCATGATTACAGAGCTTGAAAATTTCAGAAAGTACCAGTAGGGGGACCATGCTAGTGGAAACTTTAATGGGTGAACAAACGGGCTTGTGGGTTTTACAGAAAGATGGAATTAGAATTTTCTAAGCTTTACTAATTGATGAGTGTGATACACTTCTAAGCTGAAACAAGAACGATTCCAGCTGCGGCACGGGGCAGATTACCCTTTTAATGAGATACTGCATCACTCGATTGTTCCAGTATATAAAACAGATATTTTTACGCACATGAATAATGTATGAATCTGACTGCGAAGGCTGTTATCAAGACTGAAATCTATCCAGACTTTTGTCACATAGTTAGTGACCCAGTAACATGGTACTGCTTATGTTAAAAGTTTTCATTAAAAAAAAAAACTGTTATCTTGCATTTGTGTGCTATGTCATACAGAAACAAGAGCCAGGAATTTTTAAAAATCACCAGGACATCAGAAGGCAGATGGTAGGCTTTTATGTAACTTCCGAGTGCACTAAAACAGAGCAAGAAATAATCTACTCTTTTAAGCGAGATGACATAATTCACAAAGAATACCCAATTTTTTTTCTTGAAAAAAATACATTGTTGCAACAGGGCCAAAAAGATATATACCGTACCTCCAGAACACACTGCAAAAATCCACACTTCTCTGATTTCATTTCTTGAAATAAATGTTATTAGCCCTTGCTAATAAGCTGACCTCTATGCCTGTGTCTTCATTTTTCAGAATGACTGCCATAAAGTGTATGAGCCAGAGCTGAAACCAGAGGGCACCCTACCAATAACATCCCAGGCCACGTCTGAACTCGGCAGACACGTCTCAACCGAGAGAATAACACGCAAGTCCGCAGACTGACGGAGGGGGGCTGTTCTCGGACCCGGGCATGGAAACACACCGTGTGGACTCTTCCCACAGTCCAGAACCATTCCAGGAAACTGCCATTGCTCTGGACCCCCTGAACACAGGGGCCTCCAGACAGCACAGTCGACATTCCAAGCATCCTCCTCTACTCATTTGCATCTTGTGAAAAATCGGAGAGTCTGAAATAAAGCTGACCGTCAATTTACTAACACCAGCCTGCGTTCGTTTCCACATGCCCAGATCTGTTTGATCCTCCCCTGATGGGTGCCTGCGGTATCTGCCGGGTTCCTGCCTGGTCACTGGGCAGCTGCATGCAGCTCCCTGTCCTGTTAGGCGCCATCACTCACGCTTTCTGACAGCACTGGGATTAAACCCAGCGAACCTCTGCGCCTTTTCCTCACCCTTGCACTTCCACTTTGCTAGGGCGTTGGGTTTAGCCCTCGAGCCTTTCCCACACTGGCACGGGCATCTTGAAAGACCCTGCAGTCGGCACATCGACTGGGGCGGAGTGGTGACCCTGTGGCTCAGGATCTGCCCCTGTGGCTGGAAGGTTGCTGGTTCAAATCCCGTGGCCGGCAGAGGAATCCTACTCCGTTGGGCCCCCGAGCAAGGCCCTTAACCCCAGCTGCTCCAGGGGCGCCGTATTAATGGCTGACCCTGCGCTCTGACCCCCAGCTTCTCTCCCTGTCTGTGTGCCTCATATAGAAGCTGGGGTATGCGAAAAGATGAATTTCTAATGCAAGAACTAGTGATGTTATGTGATGTAATGTTATGTTATCAGATTTAGCATCTCAACCCAAGGAAAGTATTGCCTATAGCTCAGTGTCCCAGGTCATTATTCTGGAACACTGGTTTGGAAATTGAGGCCCAGAGGTAAGGGTGACACCTAGTGGTCCAAACAAGCTACTTCCAGGAACAGACTGGTCTTCCTCTGATGTCTCCCACCCAGTGAGCAAGGCCAGCATAGCTTTGCTACTGGTTCCACTGCTGCTCACACACGGACGCAGATCCCCACACTGAAACGGTTCGTAACATCCCTTCTTAATTGCCACTTTTGTAAAACAAGTCCAGGATTCCTCTACAAATCATATCTTTGCTAAGAAGTTACAGGAATGCTGTCTGTTATATTAACAAATCCATCATTCATACAGAAAGTGCAGGCACACCATTTGTAAAGCAGAAGGGTTCATTAAACCACAGGTGACAGCTACATTACTCACATCTTTTCCAAGTCATTGGGAAATACTGTAAGTCTTAGGATAGGGTAAGAGAACTAAAATCAAATTAAATACACGATTGGAGTCAAAATACTTTTTCCTAAAGAAAGAAGCCTCTATGTGAAAGCTTGTCTAATTTTACAACTTAATGATGACTGGAATGCTAACTTCAACAGAAATCCAAAATGATAAAAATAAAATGCAGTCCCACTGACATGCAAATTGTCAAATTGTCTTGTTCATGGTGAATTCCAGTAAGAGAGATGAAAAGGATAAAATACATTTGGATATGCCTCCTTCCATCATTCCTCTCTCATAAAAATGCTGAAGTGCAGTCTAAGAGGTCTTACACAGAACATGCATTTTTTATAGTGTCGCAAAGTCATACAGTAGCTTCAGTCATTTTACCTAATAACTAACAAGATGAATTCATAAAATACGAAGTAATTTTAGGAAACAAACACTGCGCTGCTCATTCTCTTCCTTAGAGCATAATATTAAAGAACAAGGAAGAATTGCAGATCCTGTACTACCAGGAGGTCTCAGAGGGAATGCATTATTTAGATCCCGTGTGAGTGCGGGAAAGTGAAACTCAAGTCACGTTCGAAGCTCCACTCTGTAAGAGAAATTCCGCTAGTTCTATTTTTAAAGTTAACATCTTTCATAAAGCTGAGATTAATGCACATAAAATATGCATTAAGAAAAGAATAACTAAGAGCTGAAAAGATGTTGAAATTTGCTATACATGTCCATTTATTTTATTGGTAAATACGAAAGGTGTTTGGAACAATATTTATCACTTAACTTACTTAATGGACCCCTTATAATTTTCTTGAAGTATATACAGTTTGTGGGAATACAGTACAGTCAGCTTTATCTCGCTGCTATAACACACATTTCCCAACACGAATCAGATATTAATCGATGATTTTATTACTTCCACAATTTCTCAGAACGCCAGTGTGAGTGGTTGTAACGCGATTGAACATTACGGAAACCAGTCACACAAACAGGAATGAATGGCTTTGTGGCTGCCATTCACAATGAATATCAATGTAAATTTAATTTCCTAAATATTTCTTCAGGCTCCTTGGGTTCAGTGAAAAAGGTCCCCCCCCCCTCCTCCACTGCTGCATACTGTATGCTGCTGCTTAGCAAGGAAGACCGACGGTACTTGCATTCGATTAATGAATGTTGCAACAGTAAAACCATTTTACCAAATAACATATAAGAACAGTAACATACAAAACTGTGTAGACAAAAGTCTATCATGAATGAATGCATCTTCCCCAATCCCTTATAGTCTACTGAATCAATGATTATTCAATTTTGAGGTTCTAAGGAAAGCAACTTCAGGATTGCGTTATAGCAGAACAGACTATTTACCATATCAGTTTTATACTATAAGCAGGCGTATGGGCTAGAAAGGGTTTTGTAGACATTTTACACGTATAAATTAACCATACTTGGATGCTTTGGGTGTAAATGTTGAACGAGTCACACAGCTTATACTAAAAAAATGTAACAGCATGCCATTATAAACAAGATTTAGTTGCAACGGCACTAAATCCATGTCAAACGCGTTTTCCCTGACATTTACCAAAGATATACAGCTAAAGCATTCATCACGACACACCGGGCAGCAGCTCAGGACTCGTATCTGGCTTCTGTACAGCAACCAAACCTCACCAAAAAAAAAAAGGCCCTTTATCACTTCATTCATTTGCAAACATTAATTACATTTTGTACTTACAACAGTGAAGTTAACAGCAATTTTTTAATCAGTCAAACACATTTAATTAAAGATGTTTCAAAATTAGTGTTGGTTCTACAAGAATAATAGCCGTCTAGCGAGCTTACAAGCAGCTTAAAACACTTTTTGTCAAACATGTCAACATTAGCAGGCCTGTCACGGTAGTAGAAAACAGCTTTAGGTATTAAAAACATAAGAGTAAATAACGACAAGAAATTACATTGGGCTTTGATGTTCCTTTGATTTTTTTTCATTCTAAGTGGCTGCATATTTTAAACCTCATGCTTACAGTCCACACATTTCATTCCCAGTTCTGCTATTATAGCTGTGTTCTCAAACCCTTAGGCTACACACTTCACAATGACTGACATATCAGGAGCTCACCTACAATATACTGCATGTACCATGATTAAGGTGTGGTTAATATTACCTTACCTGTTCATAAAAGAACTGATTTAATTAGAAGTAACCATGACTTCCGCTAACTAGAACCTTTCTTCTTGTAATTAAATCCATAGCAGAGAATAATCGGAATGGGATCCGGTTACCTTTTTGCCCGATATATTACAAATGTTTCAAACAAACTCACACAGCCAGGGGACTTGAAAACCTGTCTTAATCAGAAGTCCACTGCCTGCAGGCCCACACTTCTGCGCTTGGTACAACTTTGCAAGGAAAATCTGGCCAATTTGCAAAATACACACAATCAAAAGAGAACACTCCCGATTTATTGGCTTGAAAAAAATCTAAGACATTAATGGAACTTAATACCCTCAATACCGAAACACTAGAGCTCAGAGCTCTAGTCAGAGCCCACAGAGCTCAGACTGCACAAGCAACATGAACGCTCTTGATTTAAAGTGCCCATTCAAGAACTCTAGACTTCAGCCTCTCAGCTGCAAC